TCATAGGTTTTACATTTTACGTACATAAAATGTAAACAATCTGTCCTTATTGAGTCTCTTGTAATTAGTCTTTGGTAGGTACCTTATATTTCTCTTGGCTCTTGTATGTCAAATCTTCTATTAATTTCAGGGTTTTTTTTTTTCTTTTTTAACAAAATCCTGAAAGTCTGATGATTCATTAAATGTCTATTTTTTTTTTCATTTAGGATTATGCTTAGCTTTGTGAGCGTGATATTTTTGGCTGGAACCTCAGCTCTTTTGCTCTTCAATAAATAGTATTCCAAGACCTGCAGTCTTTTAGGATCACTGCTATAAGATTTTTTGTGATTCTAATTGTGGCACTGCCATATTTAAATATTTTGTTTTCTTGTTGCTAATAATATTTTATCCTTGAGCTGGGGGTTTTGGAATTTAACTATGATATTCCTGTGAGTTTTCCTTGTAGGATCTCTTTCAAGTGGTGATCAGTGGAATTTTTCAATTTCTACTTTGCCCTCTTGTTCTAATGCTTCAAGACAATTTTCTTTAATTATTTGTTGTATTATTGTATCAGGATTGTTTTTTTTGATCATAGCTTTCAGGTAGTCCCGTTATTGTGTTTTCTCTTAATCTGTTCTCTAGATCAGTTGTTTTTTCTCATGAGATATTTCATATTCTCTTTTTTTTAATTCTTTATATTTTGTTTTATTATTTCTTTATCTCTCATAACATCACTGGCTTCTTCTTGCCCAGTTCTGATTTTCAAGGAGTCATTTTCTTACTTAAGATTCTGGATATGTCTTTCTAATTGGTTGTCTTTCTTTTCATAATCTTCTTGTTTTTATTGGATTTTTTTTTAAGTTTTTCCTCAGTGTCTCTCAAATTTGATGTTTAAAATTGATTTTTAGTTCTCCTATGATGTTTTTCTTTGTGCTAAAAGAGGGTTTCTTTGCTTCAGTATCCTCCTGTGAAGATAAACCCCGGTCTTCCATATTCCCACAGTATCTGTCTATGGTTGGATTTTTTTCTCCTTTACTTCTTCATTTTTTTTATTTGTAGCAGCTGAGTTTTTGTAATCACCTTGGATCCTGAGATATGGGAGATGGTGCCTCTGGCCTCAGATCTAACTTCAGTTCTCCCATCTTGCCTGGAACTGGAACCAAGACCTCCAGCCTCCTGTAAGTGCCCACGGTCAACAGTGTCCCTGCTGTTGCACTCCCATTTACTCTTCACTGGGACCAAACCTAGTCCCAGGATTTTTCTTCATATCTTCTCTGATTGTCCCAGAAGGACTATTGTTCTGCCCTTACTCCTATTTATTTTTACTTCTTTGTGTTTGACCTGAGGCACTATTTTATCTAGTTTGTGGGGGAAACCAGGAAAGTTTGGAATTTTCTGACCTACTCTACCTTTTTCCCAGAATCCTCTCCCTGGTTTTCTTGTGATTACTTAGTTTTTGAAAAGTTAATTTCAACCATGTGCATATTGATGGCAATAAACTCTTAATATGTAGGTTGAAAATGAAAAAAAAATCCGTTATTAACGATTAGAGATTCTTCTTGTTTCCACTACGCTAATATTTAAGTAAGTAAAGTAACTAAAAATATAAAAATACCACCATTTTATTTTACCATCTTTTTCCCTTAATTTCCTTTTGCTTTTCTTTGTTGATTATTTAACTTTTATATAATGATAAATTTCTTAGTGGTTATAACTGTGTTATGTGTTTGGATTTTTTTTCTTATTTATCCCTTTTTATTTTTGAATGTTTGTTTTTGCTTTGTCAGATAGCATGATGACAACTCCTGCTTTTTTGGTTCATTAGGTACATGGTAAATTTTTTTCCATTCCCTCAGTTTTATTTTGTGTATGTGTTTTTTAAATGTTTTTATTTTAAGCAACAGATTATGGGTTTTTTTTTTTAATTCAATCTGTCACTTTTTTCTTTTTGATTTTAAAAAATCCGTTCACATTTAAAATTATAAGAGTTAGGTTTATATTTTCCTCTATCTCTAAAATTATTTTTTTCTAGTTATACTTTTTTCCACTTCTGCTGCTGTAAACATATTATTATGTTCCTTTAGTTACTTTACTTAAATCTTGTTTTAAAATTATCTTATTCCCACTTTCTCTCTTCCTTTCCTGTCTGATTCTCTCTTCTCATTTGTTACCCATTTCCCTTTACATTTTTATTAGTTACTCTCTCCTGCTTTTATTTGGTTATGTATTTCTTTCCCCTCTTTTTTCTTCTCATTCAGGTAAATACCCAATTCCTCTCCTCCCCTTTAGCTATCCCTGTTCATTAGGTGTTTTTTTTCTTAATGTCATCTTTTTGCACCCTTTTCCAAAAAAGATTTCTTTCACTCTTCATTATCCATCTTCTCCTTCTGTTTACTCTAGACTGTCGTTCTCTGATTCATGACCCTACAATCTTCTGGTCTCTTTTGTTTCTCTATATTCTTCGTTCAGTCAAAGCTTCTTATAATTTCTTTTTTCCCTCTATGTGCTTTTTTTCTTCTTCTATATTTTCCTGGAAATCTCCCTTTGTCCATGTTCTCCCATTCCTTCAGGTGTCAGTTGCTTACACAGATTACAACTACTCCAGGACAAGTAGACTTTTCAGGTGCCAAGTCCTCTTTTACTTTCGCTATAGGAGCATTCATCAGTGCTCCTCCTACCTTCAAAGTAAGGCTCCTTCCTTTTCTTCCCCATTTCCATCTTTTCCTCCTTTTCTCTTGTAAGTTCTTGTTCTGAGAGCACAGAGGTCATGTTCTCTTGATTTCTAGCCTTTCATTTGAACCCAGTGCCTCACTCCTCTCTTTTCCCTTGTTTCCCTTCCCTTCCCTATTATGTTCCTTCCCATGTTGTAATATAGATCCACAAAAGAAACATTCACCTGTAGCAAAGTGTTGTGAGGTTCTGTGTTGTGACAGTGTCCCTTGTCTGCCTCTTCATTGTTATCTCAACCAGATTTCCACTTTCACCCCTGTCTCTTTGGGAACATTTAGAAAGAAATGTCTTACTGGTATTTCTGTTGTCACTCTTGCTATCTACATTGATCCATTCCTTCATTTCTGTTGTTTGGAGTTTTTAAGAAGCAAATAATTTCTTTAATCTGGTTTTCTTTCTAAAATTGTTACAAACTCTTCTTAATTACTTAATGTCCATCTTTTTTCCAGTGTGATTAAGCTTAAATTTGCAGGAGAAATTAGCCTGGGTTGCATCCTGAGTTCCAGTGCTCTTTGGAAACCATTATTCCCTTCCCTTCTCCTTTTTCTAGTGGCTGTGAAAGTCTTGTGTTATTCACATGTCCTTTCCTTTGTATTTGAAGATCTTTCTCCTGATGGCTTACAGAACTTGTTGTTTCTGAATGGAATTACTAAATTTAACTCTATGTTTCTTGGTGTTTGCAGCTTTCAATTTTTTTCTGGAGGTGAGCTATAAATTCTTTCAGTTTTTAATTATTGAGATTGGAATTTCATTTTCCATGTTCAGAAGTTTTGGACAGTTGTTTTCTATTATTTCCTTCAGTTTGTTGTTGTTTCTTGTCATCTCATGTTCTTCTGGGATGTCTATAATCCTTAAGTTGTTTGTATGAGACCTGTAGTCAAGAGCCATATGTTTTCCTTGCATAGTGAGATTGTTTTCTTTTAATGTTCTTGGTTTTTGCTTCTCTTATTCTAGGTTGTCTTTCACTTCTGTGTATTTGCATTTCTAGTCTACCTTTTGTTTCTTTGGTGAGACTTGCCATTGTAGATTCCAGTTTTTCTATTCTACCCATTATATTGGCTGTGCAGGACATAAATTCTGCTCTCATAATTCTTGTTTCTTTTTTGAACTACTCAAAAACTGCATTTTATGGTTCCATGTTCTCCTTACATTCCACAGTGCCCTCTCCCTCATCAAGTGTTAAATCTTTTTCTTCATTTTGCAGTGTTTATATATAAATGCCTGAGTTCATTTACTAAATCTGGAGACCTTGTTTCCTTCTGTTGTTACTGGATTTGTTTGTTTATTTTTCTCTGTTGATTTATATGAATTTTGAAGGTCTTAGAGATTTCTTCCTGAAATCTTTGGTACTTTCAAATTTTCCTCCCTCTCGTTTTCCTTATCACTGACATCTGATTCTCTTCCCCTCTGATTGTGGCTTCTTTGGGGGTCTAGATCTCAAACTGTTTCAACCTCCTTCTGCACTGGTTAATTCATGGTTCACCAGCCAAGTCCCTACCCCAGCTGCCTTTTGGGTGGTCAGAACTGGCCTAGCTGGATGCCGTGCTCTTCCCTCAGGCTTGGTAGAGTGCTGTACAGTTCCCACACACAATGTCCTATCCTCAGTCCCTCTGTTCTTTACTTCTCTGGCCCAGTACCAACAGATCAAAACCTACTTTCTCTGGCATTAGCAGTTCAGAGCTTCGCAGTGTTGGTATTTCCAGGTTGCCATCTCAGCAGAGTTTTGCTCCTGGAGGACTGTAACAAAGCTAGCTGATGAGGCCTGAGGAAATGTCCACAATTTGGAGCTGTAGTCTCTAGGGTACTAGAAAAGGGAGGGGAAGCAGAATATAGCGGTGGGTTTTGATGTAAGTCTGTGTCATGTCTTTTGGTCTGCTAGTGCAGCCTTGCTGTCGGTAGTGTGTGAGGTAAGGGAGAGATGCCAAGTGAGCTCAGAGTCACTGAGCATCCTTTCCTGGGTTTGGGATATATTTTTTTTTAACCTTCTTTTGGACCTGGACTATGTAAACAGATGAAGTTGCTTTATCTTTGGCACATCATTTCTGTTTTAGAGAGATTTGAGAGGTTGTGGCGATTAGAGAAAATGTTCCCGACCACCAACATATGACCAAGAAAAGAAATCCTGTTTGGTTCTTTTCTTAAAGAATGTATCTGATAAGGACTGTTTTCTTTCTATTTGTATCCCTAGAGTTTAGCAGAGGGCTTGGTATGTAGTAAGTGCATAAATGTGAATGAAAAATACTTATTCATTCAAACATTCAGTTTAACATTTTTCCTGATAATTTGCACAGATCAGAGACCAGCCTGTTGTAGGACAGCTAATTCCAGATTGCTACTTGGAACTCGAGAAAAAAATTTTATTAGAGCGAAAGAATGTTCCCACTGAATTTCCAGTAATCAGTCAGAAGCGACTAGTACAGCTAGTAAAAGAAAGTCAACTACAGTTGGATGAAAATGAACTTCCTCATGCAGTTCACTTCCTAAATGAATCAGGTATTTTTAAAAATTCTGGTTTTTACTTTTTTTCACAGTTTAAAAAGAAAAGTTTAGTCAAAACATTGATTAATGAAACAAATTCTAAATTTAAAACAAACCATCTTTGAAAAGATTTTCAAGATTATCTTAAGTAGGATACATATATGATCTGCTGTAGAATCATAGTAGCAAATCATAGGAAATGAAGAGTTAAGAGTATTTTTTTCTGTTACAATCATTCAATTTTAGGGCAATCACTTTATTTTTTCAATGAGAAACTAAAGCTTCCAGATATCAAAATAACTCACTGTAGAATGTACTTACTATAGTAATGGCAGGATCTAAATCCCATGCATTCACAGTATCATGAGACAGAATGGAAAAATTCTTAATCCAACCTTAATGTACTGGAAATTATATTTGAATACAAACATAAGATCAGGAATTGGAGTAAAAGCTGTTCAGTTGGATGCTGTCTCTGTTTCCTTGATTTCTTTGACAAAAATATTATCATAAAGTTTTGAAACAGTGTCTTATTCCTCCCTGTTTCCAAATTATTTGCAATGTTGAATTTTAATTTTTGGCACAGGATGCATTTATAACATACATCCAGTGACTGGATGAAAAGAAACTCAATTTCTCTATCTTTACATGTAAAATCCATGTCAAATAAACATTTATATAATGTTATATGGTTTGTAAAGTATTTCATAGTCCTTTTTGTTCCTTATGAATGTAGAGAAGCAGTGTGCTATAGTGGATATGGAACTAGCCTCAAAATCAGTACAACCAAGGCACATATCCTTCCTCTGACACATAAAATATCTCTGAGACCCTGTACAAGTTACGTATCCTCTTAGTTACACAGGCAATTCTCTGAAACTGTGAGTTACAGATATACATTGGTAAAAAGGAAGTTTCTTCACTGTGGAATTCCTTACACTGATACATAGATGCAAACCAAAAAAAAAAAATTGGGAGTCAGAATTTTTCTGATGTTTGGAATTGTATTACAGGTGTCCTGCTACATTTCCAAGACCCAGCACTGCAGTTAAGTGACTTGTATTTTGTGGAACCTAAATGGCTGTGCAAAATGATGGCACAGGTTAGTAATCTTATACTATAATCGTGGAATGTGGGGGTAATTATTGTCAAATCATGGGCAGAGGGGCAGCTAGGTGGTACAGTGGATAGAGCTCTGGCCTTGGAGTCAGGAGGACCTGAGTTCAAATCCAGCCTCCCACACTTGACACTTACTAGCTGTGTGACCCTGGGCAAGTCACTTAACCCCGATTGCCTCACCAAAAAGCAAAAAAACAAAAACAAAAAACTATGGACAGAAAATGAAAATTTAAAGTCTGTGAAAATAGTCTGTGTCTAAAGTAGAGAGCATAATTAATTCATCTGCAAACATTTATTAAGTCCTGCTGCCATGTGTCTGTCTCTTTGTTGTTGTTATTTGTCCTTCTTTCTTGAAGAAGATCATGACATCAAGGAGGTGATGCCATGCCATGCAAGTGATTTGGATTTAAGCGAAGAGAGGGCTGTGCAAAGTCACCAGCCTCACTTTTTCATCCTAAGTGGTCTCGATCTATTGGCCAGACACACATCAGGACAAATGGACATGGTCCTGATGAGGTTTAGGGGTTTAGGGACCCAAATATCACAACATGTGGGTCCTGCCCGAAAGAATTCGACCCAAGCCTTCTTTCAGCCAAAAGCAAGGTTTATTTAGAACATCCGTCATGTTGGGGCAGACTCTTAAGGAGTCTGAATGTTAGTGAGCTATTGGCTAGATTTTAAGAATCTGAGCACTGGCTAGATTTTTAAGAATCTAAGCACCTTAATGGAGACAAGATGCATCTTATGTACAGAAAGACTGTGAGAGGAATCTAGGAGTGGCCAAGTAGTTTGGGGTGACTGGAGGAGGGATCTAAGGAATGGGAGTGGCCAGTAAGCTGGGGTGAACAGAACTCCTGAGACATGGACCAAGTGGCCAAGGGAGAATGGAGCCTAGCTAGGATTAAGGGTGGGAAATGACTAGGTTAAGAGTAACAGAATTGGGAAATTGGGTGTAGCCACAATGAAAGGCCAGTTGATGGGATTATAGCCTCAGGGGAATGCCAAAGATTTGGCCATCTGGGAAAGTCCAGGGTTTTTCCTTTTTGGGGTCTAGAGCCTATCCTTATCATTTATGATGAGGTCTAGAGGTTTAGGGGTGCTGGAACCCCGAGATCACAACACGCAGGCCTGCCTGAGTGAATTCAACCCAAATCTTCTTTCAGCCAGAGAAAAAAATTATTAGAGATAAACCATTTAGGCCAGGTGATGCCCGAAAGGACGAGCAGGCATGAGAAAGTCTCAGTGTTTAAGTGGGGGCCAGGGTGGATCTTAAATACACTCAAGTAATTTTGGGTGACCAGAGGAGGGACTGGAAAGAGGATCTGGGTGACTGGGGGAGGAGTTTAGGGAGAATGGAAGTGTGTGGATAGAGTCACCCTGAATAGACAATGAAGGGCCAGGCTTTTATCAGGGTAACAAAGAACTAGAAGGAAGAGGTTGGTAAGGTTGGGATAGAAGACTAGGCTTCTTCCTTAGAATTTCAAGGACTGACTTCTTAGAGAGATAGGGAAAGATCAGAATAAGAGATATAAGAGATAAGAAAAAGAATAAGATATAAGAATAAGAGATAAGAAAAGGCCAGTTGAATGAAGTATAAGGATTTTCTGGGGCCATAGACAAATGGGAGCCAAATTCTTTTGAGGGCAAGGGGCAAAGGTCTCAGCTGGGGTCCATATCCCATCAGTCCCAGATGCAGTGGAAGATCTTGGCCTTTTAAAGCTAAGATCTTTAGTGGGTCTCACTCTGACCTAGGCAAAGCCCATTCAGTGATTAAGGCTAGGTGAAAAAATGAGGCTGAAAATGGTCTCTTTACCCTAGTCCAAAAAAAAAAAAAAAGCAAAAAAACCTCAAACTGGCAGGAGAAGATCCTGAGGATTTCTGGCCCAGAGAGAAACAATTCCTATTTATATTCAATCTGAGTCAATCAGGGCCCAAAAACCGAGTGGGGTTTGGCCTGGGACCTATTGTTGGCTTGTGAGAGACAGAGTGATTTGAGTTTAAGACAGGGTTCTTAAGAAAGAAATCTAGTACGTAAGCCCCAAGATATCTTCTTGGTGAGGTTAGATTTTACGAATCTAAGCCTTTGGCTTGATTGTAAGAATCTGAGTATCTTAATGGAGACAAGATGGACCTTATATACAGAAAGACTGTGGGAGGGATCTTGGAGTGGCTAAGGGTGGTGGGGGGACAGACTGTGAGGTAATAGAAAGCTAGGGACCCGGACCACATGGCTCTGGACCAAGTGGCCAAGGGAGAATGGAGCCTAGATAGGATTATGGGTGAGAAGTGGCCCTAGGGAGGTAAAACAGTGGAGGGCTAGGCTAGGTTAAGGGTAATAGAGAATTGGGAGTTTGGGCATAGCCACAATGAAAGGCTAGTTGATGGGATTATAGCCTCAGGGTACAGCCAGAGATTTGGCCCTGTGGGAAAGTCTAAGGTTTTTGCTTTCTGGGGTCCAGATCCCAACCCCATCATTGTGACTTTTCCACTCACTATTTGGTCCATGGAATGTGCGCACATTTGCGGCCAACACAAAATCCATTAGACCTGAAAGACAAAGGAAAAGAAAAAGAAAGAAGGAAGGCAGGAAAGAAAAGAAAGAGCTGTGTTGCCCAGCTGGCCAATTCCAGTTGGGTCCCCTGTGGGACAGGTCCTACTTAGTACTACCAAGACCTTTTGCCCCTTACCCCAAAAGAAGTTGTGTCACATTTGTCTGCAGGCCCTAGAGCTTGAACTCTGTTTGAACTCTCTCACTTGGTCAAGGAAGTCTCTGGCTTTTTGCCTGAGGCTAATTATTCTATCAACTGGCCTTTCATTATCACCTGTTTCCCAATTCTGGATTTCTTGGCCCAGCCCTCCATTGTCTATTACCTCCCAGATGGCCCCTGGCTACTTCCCTCCTTTGATCCTATCTCAACCCCATTCTCAGCCTCCTAGTCATTCCCATCAAGATCCTCCCTAGACCCCTCCTCCAGTCATCCCTGACCACTCCCTTCAAGATATACCTTCTCCCAGACCCCTCCTCCAGTCGCCTCAAACTACTTGGCCACTCCTAGATCCCTCCCACAGTCTTTCTGTATATAAGGTCCACCTGTCCTCCATTAAGGTACTGAGATTCTTAAAATCTAGCCAAAGCTCAGATTTCTTAAGAGTCTAGCCAATGACTGAGACTTGCTCAAGCCTGCTTGTCTTTATGAGCATCATAAATATTTAGATTCCTTAACAGTCTAGCCAATATGACGGATCTTTAATAAACCTTGTCTTTGGCTGAAAGAAGGCTTGGGTCAAATTAATTCAGGCAGGACCTGTGTGTTGTGATTTTGGGGTCCCAGCACCCCTAAACTTCTAAACCGCAATATTACTACTCACAGGGTTGTTGTTTGTCGTTTGTTCTCTAAGAGGACCATGACATCAGGGAGGTGGTATGCTAAGTAGTGGGAAAAATGAAGCTCCTTGTGGTCACAAGGAGCTTATAGTCAATTGGGAGAAATATCATGGGGGAGGCACTAATAACAATAGGGATGAGGAAAGGTTTCATGTAGGAGTGGTGTTTGAGACGAGTTTTGAATAAAAAATGGAATGCTAAGAGTCATAAATAAGGAACTTCGGCTTTCCAGGCCAGCCAAGATGGAGAGCCTATACAAAGGCAGGGAAACGTGGAATGCTATATATGGGAAACAGTAAGAATGAAAGGTTGATTGGAACATCGAGTTTGTAAAGGGGAATGAATAATGTATAATAAGTCTGAAATGTTAGACAGGAGGGTAAAGGGTTAAAGGTCTTTAACTACCCATCAGAGGAAATTGTATTTGATCCTAGGAGTAAGAGGGAGTTACTGGCATTTATTGAGCCCAATAATGTGGGAATTAGCGTAATGTTTACAACAATGTTGTCAGATATCTTCAATGAGGATGAACACAGTATCAAGATTCCCTACCACACTAATGGCAGATTATTCAACTTGAAAAGGCTACAAGCCAAGACTAAAGAGGAGGGAGTTTTGGTGCATGGTTTTTTGTTTGCATGATTGTGTACTCAATGCAGCCTTTGAAGCTGAGATGCAGAAAAGTATGGATTGATTCTTTGCTGCTTGTGCCAATTTTGGCCTAACAATTAACACCAAGAGAAGACAGGTGGTCCACTAGCCAACACTGCACCATCCATATGTGAAACTATCACTTATAACACATGGAGAAATTGTGAATACTGTGGATAAGTTCACTTACCTTGTTAGTATACTTTCCAGGGATGTACACATTGATAATAAGGTTAACTAGGCATTTCCAGAGCTAGCTCAATATTTGAGAGGCTCTGAAGGAAAGTGTGGGAGAGAAAAACTATTAGACTGATTACCAGACTGAAGGTCTGCAGAGCCATTTTGTTGTTCTCATTGTTGTATGCCAGTGAAATCTGGACAGTATACCAGTGCCATGGCAGGAAACTGAATCACTTCCATTTGAATTATCTTACGAAGATTCTGAAGATCACCTGGCAGGTACTGGATGCTGAGGTCCTTTCTCAAACTAAACTGCCAAGCATTCAAAATCTAATACAGAGAGCACAGCTTCAATGGACTGGCCACGTTGTTCAAATGCCAAACATATACTTGCCTAAAAGACTGTTTTATGGAGAACTCACACAAGGCAAGCATTCACATCATGGTCAAAAGAAGTGATACACGGACACTCTCGAGGTCTCTCTGAAGAACTTTGGAATTGATTGTGAAACATGGGAGACACTGGTACTGGACTGCCCATAATGGTGTGCCCTCATCAAAGAAGGTGCTGTGCTCTATAAGCAAAGCAGAATCGAGGTAGCTCAAAAGAAACGTGAAACGCACAAATTTAGAGAATCCACCTGAAATGTTCACGTGGCCTATTTGTGCCCCACCTGTGATAGAGCTTGTATTGGTCTGATTAGCCACAATCAGACCCACTATAACTTGATTCCAACACACTGATGTCATTTTGGTCCTCCAGAATG